GTTCAACTCCTCATATATATATATATATATTATTAATATACACAAAATAATTAAGTGAGAAACGCAAGAGAATAGACAACACAGTCTTTAATTCAGAAAAGGGATACTTTGTTTGGAACATCAGTTACGCTGAATAAAGAATATTTTGTTCAAGACAAAGTATTCGTTTCCTAAAATAATGTTTCTGTACTGTCCAATGATTTACGATAATAGAATGGCATCCGATATAATTACACTGCTCTGGTAGAAAATATCTATACATAATATGCGTATTGTAGCCTATATCACTTCATATCATTTATAAGTTTTATATTTTTTCCCATTATGTAATATACATTCAGTAAATATACATGCAAGTACATGTGTTAATAGATTGTAAGTGCCACACACATTTCGTTTAATATATAGGCCTCTATGTACATAGACTATCGACGTTTTACAATTTAAAAAAACACTTAAGGCATAAAAGACATGATCTTCTGCAGTGTTGAGGTATAAAGGCAAACCTATACTACTGGGGCATTAATTTCTAGGCTTACTGAATAAATCATTATTTCACTAGTTATCAAATATTTAATGGCGTTATGTTTCACATTTTATATTTTGCTTAATAAAATATTTTCCAGTCTAAAATGCTGTTTCAAATAATTATCTGTTCAGGCTGAATAATAATAATAATAATAATAATAATAATAATAATAATAATAATAATAATAATAATAATAATAATAATAATAATAATAATAATTGTGGATTTATATAGCGCCTCACGTTGACACAACCTTGAGGCGCTTAGCAACAACAGAGCAGAAAAAAACAAGAAGAACCATTGGTGACGTTATATTTCAATATATAGACCTATTGTATTTTTATGATGGGCCATCTGTTGTTACCGGAAGCTTTTTGAATTGACCAAAATGAAGGCATGGCGAACTGAATCATTACATCTAAACTAACGCTGACACTAGCTGCTTTTTTCAACAGGCTGCTGAGGCTTGGACCTTGCAAGTGGCATGTCCCAATCCTCGGAGGCGTAGTGAAACCAAATGGCTTGATTACTCTCATTTCCAGTAGCATGCAAAGTGGACTCATCGAGTGATCGAGACTTCATTTGAGAGCACGTCGTTCCATTGTTTTCTTTACACATTCTTCGTTGACGGTATGCTGTCAGGTCTGGCGACATTCCAAATCTTATATCTTTAACGACGGTCCTTTGCCCATTCTCGGCTATTTTTGTTCTGCCTTCTTTACAGGGATCGGACGCGGTTCTGCTAACATCAGTCCTGTTAGTTCGTTGGCGTGGTGGGGTAGTAATCTGACCATCTGAAGCACAACTGTCACTGGTAGGTTTTGGCTCAGGCGACGATGGCTCTCTTTGCCATGGCTTGTGATTACACAGTCGCAATCCAGTTGTGATGCCACTGAGCAAGCCTGGTCTCATCTTGTTCTTACGACACCTGCCTTTCCCCGCGGATTTCTTTGCAAGTCGTGGTTGAGGACTACCCGTTAGGCTACCCTCCGAATCTGTTGAAGATTCATTATCTTTTTCATCATCTATGGTTACACGTTTTGGTTTTGAACATTTAATACTTTGGATATCAGGACTGGCTGGTGACTTTGGTCTGTCATCACCTGAGCTGAGGGCGGTTCTTAATGCCGGCTTTAGTGATTTCGGTGAGCTGACGGGTCCATTCCCTTCTTGATCAGCTTTTATCCAAGTCGTTGTGTATCCATTATCTAACTTCTGCACCACTACGATACCTTCATCATTATCACCAGCGCCTTCGTTGTCAACGTTGTTCTTGACTTGTTTTAAAGGTGAATGTCTGCGAAGTAGTGGCTCTGTCTCATCGGCTTCCCGTGCGTCATCAGTGGTTGGTGTAACATCGTATTCATTGTGTTGTGGCTGGTAATGTTCATTTTTTGGAATGAGCCTATCACTGCCATCTGATGCAACTTCTGAAGAGATCATGTCCATCCCCCGTTGTCTATTGAGCTGCCCTAAACTTGGTATACGCTGTCTATGAATATATGGATGTAAATCATTAGTATCATACTCATCATGTACATGGCACGTGTTATGACGATGAGGAGACATCTGAACATCCGGGTAGTCAACTGACGTGTATGGATCAGATGCCAAACTACTTGAACTCTGACGGTTAGCGTGATCAGTATAAGTGGTTGAGCTGAGGCTTCGATTTCTAGGATATCTCGGTGGCGGCAATCTGTCAGCGGAGTGACATTTCACATCCACCTCTGGCACGACATGTGTCATTTGAAATTCGAGACCAACAGCTTCGCAACAGGAAGAAGCGTCCTGGTTATTTTCGAGCTTACTACTACATCCTTGAGGTGGCATTCTATTTTCACATGCATTGTTGTCAGCCTTATTCCTTGCTGATTCAATGATAACATCAATCGTAGCGAAGTCAACGTCATTATCACTGCTAACCAAGCTGAGCAAGCTACCATTTTTCTTGGCTTTTTCATAAGCATCGCGTCGTTTCAATGCCTTCTCTTGCTTACTTTGTTCTTTGTAGAATTCAGAAAAGTTATTCACGATAATAGGAATCGGTAGAGCAATGAACAGTACGCCAGAAACACAGCACACTGCACCAATTACCTTTCCAAGTTCTGTAACGGGGTAGATATCTCCGTACCCAACAGTGGTCATTGTAATTGCGGCCCACCAGAAAGCTGCTGGTATGCTTGTGAAATCTGTTTGTGGCTGGTCTTTTTCTGCAAAATACTCCAGGCTGGAAAACAACATTATTCCCAGCGCTAAGAACAAAATGAGCAAGCCAAGTTCCTTGTAACTTCTCTTTAATGTAAACCCTAAGGACTGTAGGCCGGTGGAGTGTCTAGCCAATTTCAGAATCCGTAGAATTCGCATAATACGGAAAATCTGGATGATTCTCCGTACATTATCGAATTTTAGGACCTGTTCGTTGGTAACGAAGAGGGTGATATAAAATGGTAAGATAGCCATAAGATCGATCATGTTCAGCACACCTTTGAAGAACTTCCATTTATCAGGTGCTGATACCAAACGTAGAACGTACTCAAAGGTGAACCAGGCAATGCACACCTTTTCGACCATAACAAGATGTTCGTTTTCATGTTCGTCTCCATTTTCATCAATTACTGTAAAGTTATCAATTGTATTCAATGAAAGTCCTATTGTTGATAACACAATGAATAGTATCGATATTACTGCTACCACCTGAAAGACAAAAAAAGATTGTATTAAACAAACAATTTTTAATTTATTCATTTTAAAATGCTTCAAAGTAAAATTGGTGTTAAATTGTAATTATCAAAATAGTAATTATGACATTGAATTTTTAATTGAGGCTTGTCATATCTGAATATTGTAGGTGACAAAAATAAATTTAAGTAAAAAATTATCACATTATAGGTTTGTGTATTTTCAGAGTACAATACAATATACCGTAATATTCAAATAAACGCCCCCTTCAGAGACTCATTTGGAATAAACGCCTTCTTTGAATAAACTGCCCGGGGTGTTTATTTTTTCCTCGAATAACAACCACCCCTACCCCACAACCCCCACACCCTAATTGACTTTAAACAAAACTGATAAAAGCAACATCATTCTCAACACATTCTATTAATATTCTAACTTCAGTAGAATTACAATTTGTCTAACATGATTTGGATCAATAAGTCTTTATAATCACGCAATAACACATTTTAACGGTAATTTATTGGGGGTTTCTTGAGTGTACACGTATTAATTTTAAGCTAAAAATACAAACCCCCCTCAAAAACCATTCTGAACAATAAACGTCCGGAGCGTTTCTTCGAATAGATACGGTATGTACCTTTCATTGCACTGTTATTTTGAAGGAGTTATTCTGTACCTAAAAAAGGTACAGAATAACTCCTTTCGAGTTAAAATAACTCCTTCAAAATAACAGTGTGGCCATCAGTAATAAGAACAAGAAAGAATGTAGTCTTTGACACTTGAAAGCAATGCCGAGCCAGCTATTAGGACAGTTGGGACAGTCCCGCACAATTGTTTATTGGGTCCACATTATAAAAAGGATGGGTCCACATTTTCAAAGAATGGTTCTTGTGGAGGGGCGCAATGAGCGTTTTCTTTAAACGGATACCGGCGCTTTAAAGTTTTCATTATTATTATTATTATTATTATTATTATTATTAAATATTATTTAATAATAATAATAATAATATTTAATAATAATAATAATATTATTATTATTAAATACGTTTTATACACAAAATGAGACCACTTTTTTGAAAAATGGGTAAAGATTTATCATATCTATGTGTAAAATGGTACAACTTTTAAGGAAATTTGTCCACATTATTTGAATTTACGCGTAAAATGGGTCCACTCTGGTATTGACCCGCACTAATTGAAAATTCTGGCTACGGCATTGCATGAAAGTTTAAAAAGTGAAAAAGCGGACCAGTGAACCTATCGTATACACCGGTATTGTGCTTACCTTGAGAAATATTGGTGAGACAGCAAAATTGACATAGTAGCTTGATATCAAATTACTAGATAATTAATGATTTTATTGCATTTATCAGGAAAAAGCCTCCCCGAAGTACTAAAGTTCCCATTTTTTTTAGTATACTGCGCCTGCACAGATATATACTATGCCGTAGTTGTAGAATTTTCTGTAAAATGGAATGTGTTAAGGGTTCATTATCTGTAAAATAGAAAGCATTTAGGGTCCATTTCGGTTAATTTCATTTGACAGGCATGCCAAGCCGGGTGCCAAGTAGGCCTACAGCGTGAAAGTTTTTAATAATAATAATAATATTTTAATCTTAATTTTGACAGATGACCAGTGGCTGATAGCACCTTCTCCGATAATGGACTATGTTTAGAGTAATTTTTACCCGTTTGAATTTAGATGTAGCATTGTCAAGAAACATAGTACCTGTAAAACGCTAGATTCTGCAGTATATTCATGCTTCTACCAGTAGCTTATTTTTGTCATGATCAAAGTAAAACCATATATACTGCCCTCTATTGATTACTCTGTCTGAAAGCCTGAAATGCGATTAGAATATTTGACAAATTTTGTTTGCAGTTTGAAGTAAATTGAAACTGTGTTTTCAAGCGCATTTTGTCAGATCCAAAGATCATGGTAAAATCTCCGTCAAGTAATTAAAATCACTGCCGATGACTTATTATCAGGAAACTTTACCACCATAAGATAGTATAATACATACTCAAAGTATCGAAATGCACGCCATCGTTATCACCACCATCATTGTTATCGATTTCATCGTCATCACCATTATAATGAACAGCTCATTATTTTCACCATTATCACCACTTTTATTATCGTCATCATCAGCACCAGCAGCAGCAAAATTAAAATTGTAAATGTATAATGTCTGTAAATGACCTAGATAATGAATTGAAATCTAAATCAAGGCCTAGGCAATTTTAAGATAAAACTAGTCTCAATCTTTCAATTAATTTTAAGCCAAAAGCATTACTTCACGACAACTGGCACACTATTTTGTAAGCGCTCACATATCTTGACACTTTTCCATAAATTTATTTCATATTTATATAAGTTTAACTTAACTTCACTATTACATTATTGATTGAATGATTATATTACCTAAAGTTCGGTAGATAGGCCTATAGGTGATTTAGGCTTAATATAAATTTACACATTTCTCAGCACGGGTCTAATTTTAATCGTGTTCACAGTGCAAATTGATTTGTCAATATTTTGGCATGTCACATGTTTTCCTTTAATAAAATTTGATAGTGTGGACAGGGCCTAATTAAGCGACAAAGAATACGACGTCACAGGGAGCTGAAGATGTCGCACATTGTGAATGGCACGACAACAAAACTTGTATCCCGAATGAACATAAAGAAAACTGTTACTGTGGAAACCGAGGATGACAAGATTTCCTAATGGTTGTGAAGTGCATGTAGAAGAAGCTATAACGCGCTATTGCCCACCATTATTCTTAAACATCCAACTACTTATTTATGACATGCAAACAGCCTAATTTAGTATTAAATTACACTGCGCCTGCTGTACAGTATCTTGGTTTACTGTACGTGCGACTATCACATAAAAGGCACATTAAAGAGCCTGTATGTTATAAATAAGATAATATCTTGCAATATAATTTAAAAATAATTTGTGATAATGCTGAAAAAGCAATTCTCAAAAAACATGAAATGTGCCGATTTGGAAGATATTAGTAATACAACAATGTACACATTACTCAATTATAGTATTAGTAAATAGTAATAGTATAAACGAATACTAAAGCAGTTTAAAACACGAATGGAAATTATGTTGGGTTTTTGATAATGGAAATCGCATGAGCTTGACATACTAGAAACGTTTGTGTTAGACACCGATGCGGTGTGTTTGATATTGTAGGAAGCGGATGTGTGGCATAAGCAACGTGTGTGTAAGTGTGGCATGGCATGGAAATGTGGCGAGGTTTGACACAGGGTAAGTAGAGCAGTCACTCCATAGAGTGCATACATCCGACATGTGCCTGAATACCAATAATAGGCAAATCGTGTATAATGGGCGAGACTGTAACATACTTTTTTTAAAACTGTGTGAAATAATGGAATCGCCAATCATATACACATTATTTTCTTGAATGCTGCAGAATACCCTCAAGAAAATAATTGAACCATTCGTCGTATTTAGGCACATTGTTTTCTTGAGCGATGCGTGAATACATGGTGCGATTCCATTATTTTCTGTTATGCTCGAGAGTAAAAATTATAAATTGTCTTCTTTGCGGAGGTAACAAAAACATTTTACTGTAAATTACCTCACTTAAGAGATGAAGGGCTGTAGAATTACATTCATTATTTTTATGTATTAAGAGTAGGTGGTAATTACTGTATTAATTGAAATTTTTGTTTTAAGAAAATTACTTAATCAGGTTGACGCATGTAAATATCTAAACCATTTAAGATAATAATTACAAAAATAATTATAATACAAATGTATCTTTGTTTTTGTAATTAAGATAATAATTACAAAAACAAAGATACTTTATATCTAAAAGTGAAATATCTAAATTAATTAAATTGATTAGTTAGACCGACGTTGTAGTAATTTCCAAAATTCCAATTAATGAAAACAATTCCACAACGAAACTCTGAAATGCTATTGACCAGTGTTAAAAACCATAACATTCCTTTTAATACTGAAAGCAGAAAGCGCAGGTTCGAAGCACGGATGGGAGCAAACTCACAGATTCATTTTTGTTAAAGTTTACTTGCTTTATTACGTAGTACGTACGTAGTCTAATTGGCCACTGTTAAACACAGTGTATCTAAGTTACAGATATCAAAAATAATACCGGTACTGATGATATATTAATTATAAATATATAATTATTCTCTTCATCATCATCATCATTGTCGTCGTCATCATACTGGTAATTATCATTATCATCACCATTTCATTATTTAAATTTTCATTTGATAACCCCTTATAACATAAATGTCAAGATGGATGAGTGTATGCATGCGCTTCCACTTACAACAACGAGATACAACACTTACAAAAACAAACACACAACAATAATGATGGAAGTAGAGCAAGTTAGGAAAACGAGTATAGTATTAAGAAATCGTTTGACTAGATTAATATTAGATACGTCATACAGATCGGATGGGAGATCATTACAGATTCATCCACCAAAAAAAAAAAATATATATATATATATATTGCGGGGAAATGAAACACTTAATAATAATCATGACGTAATAGTAGGTAATATGAAGAAGATGAAAATGTTTGTTGTACGTGCTGGAATGCGTTGTTATAGAACCTATATCAAAAGGATAAGAAGAAAGTGAAAAGTATACTGACTGCTGCAAATCTGACAACTTGAACACACTGTTGAATTTATGTTATTTCCATTAATATTATGTAGCGAATTGCTATGGTGGTGATCCCAGGAACTGACACACACATAGACCTTCCAAACGTAATGTGACTGCAAATGATGACTATAGAGTGTTTGAATTAAATGAATTGAATGGTGAATATGGTACCGTAGTATTCAAAACTGTTGACACAATTTTAACCTTCTTATTCAAACCTTTAGTAAACCAATATCAGCCACGATAAGTAGCGTCTAGCATTAAGCATTAGGCCTATGCTTGTTTTGATACCGGCTGATATATCCCACACTGATGGAACTCACCTAAAG